GCATGTGAATCCACGATTGGCAAGGTAGCACCAACAACCCTAAGGTGGCATTGGGATCTTGATTGGGAGGACAGCTGTATGCAGTATATCCAGAAGTGGTAAGAGAAGCGGTGAACATAGTAAGGGGCTGTAGTAAGAGAATGGCTTTACCAAATATAGAACACCTCTGGTGCAATGAATAAACAAAGAAAACCGGTTAAAAGAAACCCCAAAAAGCATGAAAGCAAGCACCTTAGTGGTACAAACATAAAGATAGCTAGTGAGTATAGTCGCACAACCTATATGGAAGTTTATGACGAAACACAGCAGAAGCATGGATCCCGGGTTACTGCTTTGTGGCAGTAATTAAATGAAGTTCTTAACTCCTGTCCTAAGGATCTAGACTTCTGTATCACCATACTGATAGAGAGTACTAAAAAAGGGGTAGTAGCCTAATTAAGAGATGTACAATGTTAATACCTGGACCCATGTGAATAGCTCTTCTAATGGTGGCAGCAGGTGGCTTGAGATACGGGTCTTCAGACAGTGGCAGCACCTGGCTTGAGATATGGATTAGGTTCTAAAGTAATATACTCGAGGAATACCAAACTGGAAGCAAGAAGAGCACCCACTCCTAGAATACCAATTTGGAAGTTATACAAGATATGAATTAGGAGTAATGTGATAAGTGATGAGAGGTGGATTATAACTGGTAGATGTTGTACAGTAGTATATATAGCAGGATGTATATGAATTAAATAGGTAAGCACGGCCTACTGTTGATCTAGAGGGAAACCCCCTAGCAAGTTAGGGGCCAAAAGGAAGGTAAATCTGTGGCTAAACGGTTACACTTGGGCACTTTAGAGCAGCCGAGGGAGCTTTGTTACAGAGTCGGTAGGGTATAGTTTCTAGAAGTTTCTGTATTGATAAAACCTTATATGTCTCGATAAAAAGAGACACTTAATTACTGAAGTTAATAAAGCAGGTATTGTTTAAAAATATATATATATATATATTGTTATTGTTATATAGTCTATTATTAAAAGATCTATTGCATTTTATATATGTTGTGCAGCCTTCTTTTAAAATTTTACTTGCACACTTAATAAATTTTTTAAATAAACTTGCACATATGTATCGCTATAATTTATTTTTAATTTAGACTGTTCTTAAGTAATTGATCAGATAATAATTGTGATAATGTTAAGCATCACAATTGATAATAAATTAAATATTTGATATACTTTTTTTGTTTTTCATAATATTCACTATACTACTATCTAAAAAAGCCTAATAAAAAAAAAATTTTGATCAACCATTAAAGTTTCAACTTTAGTTATATTGGCTCCTCTTTTTAATAATTTTAACAATTAATTTTCTTTACTATCTGTCAAATATGGAAAAATATCTACCCAAATCTTTTAGTTTTAGGCCTTCTTTACTGAGAAGATTTTAAATTTAAATGTGTAAAAAATAAAATGGAATAACAAAATTCTTTATAGTTTGATTAAATGTTAAAATATTGTTATATTTATTATACTTATATTAATATATTGATTATTGTTTTAAAAGCTTCGATCATTAAAAATAAAGTGGCTATCTTTTTAAAATAATGCTTGAGCGACCTTTATTAATGTAAATTTTTAAATAAAAAGGGTGGTTTGTATTTTGCTAATTTGTTTATCAAAATGATAATTTCTGACTAATTAAAAATTTCCTTCCAATTTATTAAGTAAGATGTTTGAGAACACTCTTAACCTATTTTTTAATATATAGCTGCTAAACTATGAAGCTTGTACTGTATGTCATACCCAGTAACAAAAAAATACTATTTATGCATATATGTGATATACAATATACATAATGCTTAATTTTTTTAAAAAATTGCATTATACCACAATGGTATACATATAGTGCAATCTTTTATTAAATATTTCTACTTAAAAATTAGCAAATACAATAATTAAATATATTATACTATGATTAAATATAAGTGCCAAAACCAGATTTTAAGCTCTTATTACTATATTATTTACTAGATTAATCCTGACTAGAGACATAATTAAATTTACTTAAGTATTATATATTTTTTAAATCAGGATTGAGTCTGATTAATATATCTAATTTTCCTTGGTATTACTTATATAGAATGTAACAAATAAATTTATAAAAAAGTATCTTTCTATGATTTAAAGATAGAGTGTACGTAAATCATTTATCATATGATATGCGTTGTCAATCTTTTTTGCATAACAGTTTATATAGTATATACGACTCTGATTGGGTAATTACCTGTTTTAGTAATAATTTTACTATTTGTTTTTTTGTGTAACTCTGGCAAATTTGAAAACCCCTAGCAAACTTTACACTATATATATGTACATTTTTTTAAAATAATATAACCCCTGAAAATTTTACTACTATAAATAGAAGGTTTAATCTATATATTACAAAATTTTGGTAAAGATTGACAATGGCTTCGAAAACTTTTGTTAGTGGCATATTTTAATTTATGCATAAAATCTCATTGTACAACCAAAATCATATAATAAATGATCGATGTACACTCTACCCTTAAAGTTTTGCTTATACTATAAACTTATAGTTTTTGGGTTTCAATACTATATAAATTAGAATCAAATTTTAATTATTGCATTTTTGATCACATTTTGTTTTTTTAAAATATAATATCTTGGTGATCTAATATTTTGGTGATCTAATAACGCACCAATACTTCTTAAAATTTAAACAAACTCATATTGTGTAATTAAATACTTTTTGCATTTAATAATGAGTTTTAAAATTATAAAAAATTCTTTATATCCATCAAGCTCTATTATAGTTTATAAAGAAAAAAAAAAAAAAGTTATTAAATGTAGTTTTTATTATGAAATTATTAAAGAGGGTATATATTTAAATGCTTCACAATTAGCTTATATGTTTACTTCTAAAGAAAAACAATATAAAATTCCAGATCAATATAGTGTAAAAACTACTATAAGACAATTCAAAAAAAAAACAATATACTGTTTTATAAATTATGAAAATAACCAACCTATTTTTTATATTTTTTATGGTGAAAATTTTGAATATAAAATAAGTTCTACCTCTTCAAGTTCAGTTGCTAATAAGTAGAAAAAGGTATAAAAAATTAAATTAATTTTTTAAGTTTAATATATTATTAGTATTTATAGATTATAAATCCAAATTCTAAAACAATATAATCAGGAATTTTAATATTTGGATTACAACTTGAATTTGTAAAAAAAGTACATAATGCAAAAAATAGAGAGTTAAAATCTATTGAAAACTGCTACAATACTATGTACAATTCTAAGCAAGCAAAAAATTTTGGAAATCAAGCTCTTAAATTATTAAAATCTGTATTGCAAAATTATTATTCAAAAGAGGATTGTGTTAGTATGAAAGCTATAGATTATTTTGTTAATAGTTATACAGTAATTTCCATATTGATTTTGAAAAAGAAGATTTAATTAAAACAAAACAACATCAATTATCTGTTGTTTAGGCTTTGAATAAAACTAAAGTTTTACAAAAAGGTTATCATTAAATAGCTGCAGTTAATTTTACAATTCTACGTAAAGATACAATATCTAATAAATATACTGTACATTACTAAATAAACAAATAGAAGCTAATATAAAAATTATACAAGTAAATCTTAATTACTTAGAAGTTGAAAAAGATTCTATGAATGCAGGATTTAGATTTGAACAAGAAATAATTAACATAGCAAAAATTGGTGTACAATGTAGTATTAAAGATCCTCTTAATTATATTATTTTATATTTAGAACAAAGTAATATTTTAAAGTGTACTGATCCGGTTATTCATTTGCAGATTTCAAGTGACGGTTAAAATATTGGCTATAAGATCAAGTATACATTATTCACAAAATTTAAAACTTACTTAGTAAAAATGTATATCTTCTATTAAATGTAAATTTAATTCGTCTATTTGTATTATTATTATTTATGATTTCTTCTTTTATATTAGTCTTTGTGAAGATTACTCAAAACACAAGCTTTACTACAACGCTTGTACTATAATATTTATAAAATTAATATAATTAATATTAAAATACTGTTTAAACATATTATTCAATAGTAAATTTTTATGAAAACTGTCTACCTTAACCAATTCCTAATAATATATAAGCACTATACTATCCATTTCAACTCTAATTTATAATTATGATTATCTTGATAGTTAAATTTAAATATAATATTTAGAAGCTAAGCTTACAATTATCTTGATAGTTGGATCTAAATATAAATGTTTAGAAGTTAAGCTTAAAATCATCTTAATAGTTGGATCTAAATATAATATTTAGAAGTTAAGCTTATAATGGATCTAAATATAACATTTAGAAGTTAAGCTTATGATTGTCTTAAGGGTAGGGGGTATGTCAATCATTTTTTATATAATCTTAGTATCACAACGTGATTTTTGCAAAAATTTGGAATATGCTATTAATAAACCTTTTTACTATTATAGTTAATTTTTATCAAATTTTTGTAGTAAATAGATTAGAATATATTCTTTATAGTAGTAAAAATTTTAATAAATAAA